GGATATTTCTCCTTTAGGGAATATGGGAAGTGTCATGGGCTTTATTAAAAGTAATAAAGAAAATCTTTAAATCTTTACATCCCTCTATGTACATCCTGCATTTATTATCCACAGAGCTAAGAACTAAGTTAACATTATTTATTTGGTGTTTACAAACCCAAAGCCTGCAGAACTTCTGCCACATAATCATAATATATTCCTAGTATTGCACATCATTACCGCTAACCAAGACAATTGAATGAGAAATGAAACTGCCAGAAAAATAATGCTCACCATGGGGAAAACGGCATTTCTCCATCAAAATCTCTAACCATTTTACTGCTACCATCCAAACAACCACCCAGAGTCTCATTATCATCTTCCTGGTGTTAAATGGGTTGAAAAATATAACTTTTTCTTTTAAATGTGCAATTACAAAAACGGTCACAGTAGAAGAAAGTCATTACACGTGTGTCCTTGAATGACGTCTGAGTCCATCTGAGTCCAGGCTGCTGCTGGAACGAACCTGCGCAGTTAACTGACTCTGGGCTTCCTCCGTCTCCTTGGCAGAAATAGTGTCCGGATTGTTTGTCCAGAACCAGGATGACAATGTTCTTAAATAAAATTGTCCCTAAATTTCCTTTCACATTCTGACAGCATGATTGAATAAATGTTGCCTGCTGAAACTGGCTTCGAAGATAAGTATTTCATGACAGATAATATATTTCATATGCAAATGCTTTGGCCTCTTTTTATATTGAAAACAAGGAAGAAAATATTTGTGATCTGTTTAATTTAGAATGTACTATCAAGTTAGATGTGTATGGCCCTGAAATTAAATAGCTGTTTTGCGGCATCATACCATGAAAACGGCACATTTTGTACTGAAGACAATTTATTGATGGTATGCTGGTAGCAGATACAAAAAGAAAAATTGATTTATTGCATATGAATTATTCAAGTCAAATTTAGAATCATAATATACAATCATGTGCATATGCATACATCAATATAAACACCTAGACTGAGACTTTCAGTTTATTTTGCTTTTAATTGACAATTTTGCTTCCAAATTTTCACCTCAACTTCTTCACCCAATTGGAATATTAAAGCTTTATGCCTTTTATAACAATCATCCTTGAGTTTCTTAAAACATTAGAAAATTATAAATTATTTTTATCTTTTATGGAACACTTGTTTGCTTTTAAATTTTGTTTACTTATACAAACATAATGAGGTGCTATGTGATGATTTTATATATATGCAATACATGTACAATGTGTATAATTATCAATTCAAGGCAGTTAACATGTTTATTTTCTTAAACATTTGTAGTTTTTCAGATTAAAACATGCACACACATGTGTGATAGAGGTGTGGTATTGCAATACATAGGTAATATAGTGATTAAATCAGAGAATTATCAATTTAAAATATTTTTACTTTATTTTGAATTTGATTTATGTATTTTGTGTGTGTGTGTGTGTGTGTGTGTGTGTGTGTGAGAGAGAGAGAGAGAGAGAGAGAGAGAGAGAGGAGAGTGAGCACTAGTGTGCAGGTGCCTACAGGGGCGAGAAGAAGGCCCTGGATCTCTTGAAGCTGGAGTTATAGTTGGTTAGAATTTACATGGTGAGGGGGTCTAGAAATTGAACTCACATCCTGTAGAAGAGCAACAAGCATTCTTTAAACTCCGAGTCATCTCTCCATCCCATAAACACTTCAGACTTCTTTATCTTAAATAAGTCTGAAAACTCAGCAGTGCAATGTTATGCATAACATAAATTAGTTGAATTAGAAACATTAAGCCTTTGATAGAGAGAACTGGCAGTGAGGTAGACGAAGGTCACGGCCCCAAAGGAGGAGAGGGCAACCTCATATACGTTATGGAAGGTGGATGGAGGGAAGCAGAGAAATGAGTTGGCAGAGGTCAACAGCTGCAATGACAACCTTGTGTTGTGAGGGACCAGCTGAGGGAGAAGAAAGTGTGGCAAAGTGCAGCCATGGAACTTAAAGGACAGGGAAGCAAACAGCTCCACAGCTCCACAGAGTCAAGTTCTAGGAAGCAGAGACAGTTAATTCCTTGTCTCGAAGCTGTATTTACTCACTCTTCTAACTGACATGCTTTTATTTCAAAATAGTGAGTGTTTTAGTACTCTTATTTTTCTGTTCTGCAGGTATCTAAGAGGGAAAACATCACATGTAGTATTGCACTGCTCCATTCTTGGTAATCCAGCTGATTTTAAAGGGGAAGTTGAGAAATTAAAGGACAATTTCGTGACCCGAGAATAAGGACGTTTACCATGGGAGAGAGTCCAGGGTCAGTGAGAACTCCCAAACAAAACAGAAACAACCGCATGCACATCAGCCTACTAAAAAGGGTCAGGGTACAAAAATGAGTGTGTGTGTGTGTGTGTGTGTGTGTGTGTATGTGTGTGTGTGTGTGTATCCTCGTGTATGTATGTTGTGTGTGTCTTCTTTTCTTTTTTTATAGTGCCAAGGATGCTCTGTAGCCAATCCATTGGTGCCAACACATATAAATCATTCACAAGGATACCAGAGATTAACCAGGCAAACCTCCCTAGTCCAGAGCAGGGACCTGTTCTCTTGCATCCTGAGAACAAAGGGAAGTGCACTCACAGTGGAGTAGCTGTGCTGCTGCAGGCGCTGCTCCAGGATCTTATCTATTCATACCTCATGCTCGACAAGCAGGGCACATATGAACATCTGCTTCTAGGCTCTTCTTGGTTCTCCTCAAACACAATCTGCTGTTGTGACTGCACCTGCAAAAGGCATAAAAACGCACAGGAAAATAAAACAAATATTTGGTGTGCTGCAGCTGGAAGAGAAGGAAAAACTAGAGCAGATAAGACTGAATTAAAAAGATGTAATAAACAATAATTTAAGATGAGTATTTTCAATTTTCATTATCTACGAAGAGATAAGGAGGATATTGGAGCAGGAAGCAGGCAAAGAAGTCATAAAATATAAATGGGAAATTATTTTTGAAAAGCAACAATTGAGATAAAGAACTGTGCAGACTGGCTGAGGTTTAGGGTGAAAACAAGTGAGGGGTGAGTTACTGTTTGCAACATTTGGTGGGGTAGTTCTGCCCGATGCTACCCAGATAGTGTCCCATGCGTTCTCAGGGAAGGTGCAAGTTCAGAAAAACATCCTGACATGGTTCAAGCTTCTGTGTCTGGTGTGAGCATGAACAGAAAGTGAAGGCAAACACAGAATTGCAAATGACCTGGATAGGCACACAGGGGTTGCTCCAACACAAAGCCAGTCTGCCAAGATTGAGAGAGACTCTTGGTCATGTGAGTCTAAGAGCAGTTTAGGTTCTGAAGACTTGGTAATGCACTTTTCTTTTAAATAACTGATCTTACCTGTTTGCCTACATTCTTAAAATCATATTACCTTCCATTTTTAATTTATACTTGTGTCTTATAGTACACATATATTTAAATTTTTCATTATATTTAAATTTAAAACATATATTTAAATTTTTATTATGTGTCAATTTGTGCGCGTGCGCGTGTGTGTGTGTGTGAGGGAGAGAGAGAGAGAGAGAGAGAGAGAGAGAGAGGATACAAGTATCTGTGAATACCAAAAGAGGGCATTAGGTCTCCACTAATTAGAATCACAGATCACTGTGAGATGCCTGATATTGGTGTTGACAACAGAACTTGGATCCCTCTATAACAGTGGATCCCTCAACCTTTCTAACGCTTTGACCTTTTAATACAGTTCCTCATGTTGTGGTGACCCCCAATCATGAAATTATTTTGTTGGTACTTTATAACTGTATTTTTCTACTGTTATGAATTGAAATGTAAATGTCTGATATGCAGGATATCTGATATGCAACCCCTCCAAAGGGTCACAAATGACAGTCTGAGAACCATTGCTCCATAAGAACAATATAAACTAATCCGCATCCGCATGTCATCTCTCTAGTTGCCTGCCCTATAAGGCAGGTAGGTTTTTCTTTGGTCTCCCTACCGTATAAGAAGATAGTATGCTAGGTGAAGTATGTCTATGTGGCATAGCCTATCAAGCAAGGAACATTGTACTAATGACTTTTTGACCATAAAATATGTATATTTTAAAGGTTTGATTCAGAGAGTTTTGAATGAAACTGCACAAACAATGCACTGCTTACAATGCAGAATGTTTCTATCATCCCAGAGCAGGTTTTCATGTTTCCGCTAAAGAAAACTCAGCCTTTTTGGAGAAATTGACTGATTTCTATTATCTTAAATTCCTTGGTCTTTGTATGGTAACATTTCTTTATTTGTTTGTTAAACTCATCAACATTTTATGTTATTATTAATTGCTATGTGGTATTTCATTCTACAAACGTTTGACAGTTTGTTTATTCAAATAAACCTTGATGAACATTTAGTTCTTTGACAGTAGCTTTTTTCTTTGTAACTAAAACAAGAATCTGAAATGCAAATATTTGGTGAGATGGCTCAGTGGGTAAAGACCCTTTTCCCGTGAGCTTGGTAATCTGAGCTCTACCCTCGGCACCCAGTGTACCCAGTCTGTCTCTGCATTTCGCTTCTTATGCATACAATAAATAAAAAGTAAATAAAGTGATAATGCATGATAGTTTTATTTTATAGAATATGTAAATACCTAAAGAAATATGCTGATGTAAGGAAAATCTGAGCATAGTAATAATTGGTAAAAGGAATTTGGACTATGTCAGAAATAATAGAAATTAAATGAAGCATCTTAGAGATAATTCTTTGGAACCCATTTCATATACAGCCAGATCACCTTAAATCTACACTAGGATCTGGCTACTGAGACAAAAAGCAAATATTACCTCATGATTTCTAGAATCACTTACATTATTATATATTATCAAAATATACACACTTAATTAAATTGAATTACTGAACATATTTGGCCAGTCTTAAAAATATCCATTAACTGACAAGTGTAACTGTTATTCTTATATGTGATAGACTTGACAGCAATATAAATATTTCATTGATGTTCTTCTTCCTCAGGCATTGTTGGTTCATGACAGGGGAGGGAGCTGAAGCGGGCAACAGAATTCTAACAACTGTGGATACGATGAAGACAGCCCTCCGGGAGATGACTTCAAAAAGACAACTCAGCTTCATTCTAAAGTGGAGTAGCTATACAGGAATGGGGAGCCTGGGGACAAACTCTAAGTTTCATTAAACAGCACACTCCTATCATAAGGCCTAGTACGTGGCAGTAGGGTCCTATAGCAAAGCTCTTAGGACAAGTCTAGTTACCATATGGGCAACAGGTGGAATGCTTCTAGCAGGGAACTGTGCCAAGAGTCGTACAAGAGATAAATCAGACACCTGGGCTTAGAGACAGCTTTCAGATAGGGTCAGTCCTCCAGGACTAGAGACCTTCTCCAGATATGGGCAGGTAAAGAGCAAGCAGGACGTCTCACTAGAGAGAGAGTCCCTCATGTTCCTGAACTTGGAGAGAGTTGTCAGGACGTTATAGACTACAACCTCTGACCAGCAGGGCCTCCCAACATGTTAGATTATATATTAGTTAAGTGGCATAAAGAATGATATGCTAAAACTCTACCATTGTGTCGGAGGCCAGCTTTGACAAAAATACCACTTACCAGGGTAGGGGTACGGGGTTTATAAAAACAGTAAAGAGAACAAAGAGTAAAAATAATAAAGCAAAAACATGGAATAGTATTGGGAGGGAGCTCCAGTAAATACTGAAATCACCCACATTTAATATATAATTGCTTTTATACCCCAATACAACAGGGAAAAGAAATACAAAAGACTACTTTAATATGATATAAGGAAATGAACAGACCAGTTGAAGACTGCAGACTGCATTCATAGTTAAACATTCTGCTGCTAGAACAAAATAAGTCACACTCACACCTTAGACCAAAGAATTCTGAAGGTAAACCACTCCCTGGGTCGAATTCAATGTTATCTCCCAAAGGGAACCGGAACTTAGTAGGATATTTAATTTTTTGTTAGGGTAAAAGCATATCTACTTTTCTATTCTTGAAATACAAGGTCTGGGTATTAGCCTTACCTGTTGACAATAACCTTGAGAACAGGGAAGTCCCTGATCTCGGTGGAACCTTTGTTTGAGGTAGAAACAGATCTTGAAGGAATAGAAATTTTAGTCAAGGTGGAAACAGGCTCACATTTTTGGGCCTCCACAATTCCTCCATTTTTATTAATTTTAATAAAGCCTGTGCTTCTGCAACAGGACAGGTGATTGTGTCTGTTTAGGTAAGCACTTTCCCGTTTTCCAAACTTACCCATCTTCGGTACATGCATTCCAACCATGCATGCCCATGTCTTAGGCACCTGGGGTAGAGGGTAAGGATCTCTGACTGCTGCCCTTCGTAAGCAAAGGGCTAAGGGAGAAAGCACCTCTGGGCTCTGTGTCTTTGAGCTAACATTTTGTCAAGAGAGTTTATCAAAAACTAGATAATCATGTGCAAGCAGATAATAATAATGTGCTACACATACTTCTGTGGCTACAGTTTTGGTCAACATTTTGGGGCTTCCACACCTTGTCTTTTCAATGTGTTAGAATCTAGATACTCATGACTATTGAGAACTTAAGATGATTTTAATTCAAACCTCAATGGGCTTTTAAAATTCAGCATAAGAGTTGGGCATGGCTCATGTCTGTAGTCTGTCAGCACCAAGTTAGAAGCCAACCTGGGCTACATAGAGAAGATCTTGTCACAAACAAATTACATAAGCATACAAAGAACTATACAGTAGATTTTAAAAGCTTACGATCAGTAAAACTTTACCAACTATGTTGGTAAATGTTTTCCTTTGGTTTAGTGTTATATAAATATAGGCCAATTATACATGTTTGCCCTAAATTTAAAAGATCTGAATGTTCGTTGGTAAATTCTAAATTATATGTATCTCTTGCATTATGTTTTCTTTATTAACTATCCTTTCTCTAAAGGAAACGCTATAATAGATATTCAGAGTAAGAACTTTATGATATATTGTACAATTCTAATAAAATCAATTTTGTCAAGCAGCTAAAATTTTTAAATGTGTCAAACCTGACTAAACACTGATCGAATGTCTATATCCCTCATAAGAAAATCAAGAGACATCCTAGACTGATCCATGTAACAAGCTCAATTCTACTCGATTTAGGACGTCATTCTCCCTGTTTTTGAACTTTCTTTTATGATGCAGTTCATAACCTCATAGACAATCTTAAGAAATACCACAGAAATTGCTGTACAAGTCACCCACATGCCCAGTACGTTTTATTTTTAATGTGAAGTGGAGGCAATTGTATTACTAGCTACAGGCACAGGGAAAAATGCCGTATTGTTAGTATTGTCAATCAGTTATAACAGGGATAAATGGAAAAGAAGCAAAATGGAAATTTTTTATTTGTTTTAAGTGTATGTGTGTTTGTCTCTATGTTTGAGTGTGAACCACATGCATGCAGTACCTGTGGAGGCCAGAAGAAGGCACTGAAACCCCTGGGACTGGAGTTGCTGGTTGGGATTAGCCTTGTGGGTTCTGGGGCCTGAAAACTGAACCACAGTTCCTTCCAGGAGCAGTCAGTGCTCCTAACCACGGATCTGATTTGACTCTCCAGTCTTGCAAATTTTTGGTAAGCATGTAAGGGGCGGAGCTGACCAACAAAGAGATTAAAAATAATCACACAACAACTGGTACTGGGTTTACTGGTCACAGCATTGGAACTCCTCTCCGATCATTCTCCATCTTCCACAGGAGTTAACACCTGCTTAAACTTAGTAAAAAGAGGAGAATAGGCTTTTAAACGGAAAAAATTCCTGCTGTCTGAACAGAAACATGTTATAACCTAGATGCCCTTTGTTGAAAAAATAGTATTAAATTTCTTTTAAATTCAAGATATTAACTGACAAAGACATGTTCATGGCATTGCAACAAAGGGTTTTTCGTGAAAATGTTACTGTGGAAAATACAACAAACCAGTAAGAGAAAATAAGAGGAAGAGGAATGACCGGTGCACAGAAACATCACTAGACGTGGAAATGCACATTTCCAGGGGAAACTTGGATATGTGTTTTGTGTCTCCAGAAATGGAAACACCAATTAAATTAATTATAAGAAATATTCTTTCTCCTGTTGGGAAAATAAACTTAACTTGGAAAAATTATCACTGCTGTCAGTACACACTATTAAAGATGACCGTGGCCCATTAAGAAATCCATTAAAAACTTTATTTGCCACATTTTAGTAGAGTAAAACTTCAAAATAAACTAAAAGTCTAATAACATGGATATGATTAATAAATGAGAAATCATATAATTGAATAATATAAAATACTTTTAAAGGTGAGATTTATCCTGGGCCACAACTCTGGCAGAAGCCTCCTGCCATACCAGAAGCCATGCTACACCTGGAACCCCAAGTAAGATCCCACCTACAGACTGCCAGCACTTCCTCAGAGACTGTTCAGCCTTTTTGTCAACAGTACCCCTCACCCTCATCACCATATCTCAACCCACAGCTCTGATAGAAGCCCTCTGCTCTACTGGAGGCTATGCCAGTGCCCAGAACCCTAGAACCTCAGAGGCAATATTGGCACCCAGAGCTCCAGAGGTCACACAGCCCACCTGAACCCCAGAGGAGGCACCCTACCAGACAAGAAGGCTTTCCAGTCACCAAACCACTGACTACTCAGGCTAGAAGACCAGAGAGGAAATATAAACCAAGGGAAAAAACATCCATCCAACCAAGACAAATTCAGAAAATGGCTCCTGAAGGGACTCTGGCAGGCCCAGGCATGGCAAACACGGCTCAGGCAGGCCTTCCCTTCTCCCTGGTTCCCTCTGCCTTGTTCAAAACCATTCGGTTACATTCCTAAAACTAGCCATCATGGTCTATTCCTTTATTTGGCCAATTCCTTTTCCTGAGGCTGATTACTGATGTCCAGCTATTGAAATCCAACAATCAAAAGTTCCCTTTGACTCATATAAACACACCCAAATAAAATTAAACACCTCATCCTAATAAGGTTTTTCCCATTTTACGTTTATAAACCACCATTTGCCTATGGGCCACGTATGACTCCTCTCTATCCAGAGGCAATCCTTTGCCCTCTGGGACAAATATCCCTTACCCATCTCCAGTGCCCCTTTTATCCCCTCTTCTGTGTTCCCTTCCCCTTCTCTCTCTTCCTCTATTTCTTGTCTTTGTCCCTTATTCCTACCCTCTGGCCTTCTGGGGCAAATAAATCCCCTTTGTGTTTAGAACTTGCTCTTAGGGGTCCTGAGTCAACACTTTTTCTTCCATATAGTTCCGTGCCTTGGATTTAGTTTACAGGATCCCCCCCACCAACCCAGTTCTCACAGTCAGATCTCCTGACGCCTGATCCCCTCTTCCAACAGGGCCTTATTGGTAAGTCTCCCACCCTGGCTATCAGGAGACAGCCTTCAAGTGTCCAGCGTTCCTGGTCCCTCCTGTGGGATTGGGTAGATTGTACCCCACCATGACCTTCATTGGTCACTGTGGACTCCCTTGGACAATCAGTAGGCACATTCCATTCAGATCGACTTGGTTGAAAGTTTTTTTCTTTCACTTTTGGTGGCCACACTGCTGGAAACCAGAGTCTTTTCCTAACCATCAGGAAATCTGTCTGACAGGTCCTGGATTTCTTCTCAGACTACTGTCTCCCTCGTGGTGCCCAGGTTTGACAGACAATTCCTCCCTCAGCTTCACTGGCCACTAAGGTTACCACTGTCCCTGCCCAGCCCATACACAGTTCCTGATCAGTGATGCCCAGGTCAGTCAGTCTCCTCTGTCAAGGCCAGCCACACCTCCCTCCTGCCACTTTCTCAGTTTAACCCTTGCTTGTCCTGAAACTGGTTTTGTAGCTTATACAAGCCCAGGATCCCATCTTAACTCTGCCCTACACGTCTAAAATTTCCCTTCAACAAAATTTTATTTATTTCTACCCTTCCTCCTCCTTAAACTATCTCCAACAATCTTCTTCCTTGTTTGTTGTTATCTTCCAAAATGTCTCCCATTTTTAGCTGGATATTGCCTCCCTCCTCCTAGAACCAAATTCTCCAGGCCACACTTGCTCTGTGTCTGTGTCAGCTCCATTTTTAATTACTTTATAGCCCTCCTCTCACAACTCTCTCAGCCAAGGCTCTGGCCACTTTCCCAACTTATTAACCTTTTCCTGTCCTGATGCT